TGGTATTGCGTTCATTAATATTTTATTCTTCGTGTCAAACATTACATAGCTTGAACTCCCTAAAGGCGAAGGTTACCTCTTCTTTAACACAATACCTGCGTATTGTAACATTTTCTTCGCCATATTGTATTGTTTTGTTATAAGTTTGTAGATAAAAGATTTATTCTATTTAGAACGACTGTGCGACTGCCGGGCAAGGGGTCTCGGGTTCGATTACCTGGTCGGGCAAAGTATTACTGGGTTTTTACGGAGTCTGGAATTGTGCCCGATATATAGCAATAGGCTCACCCCCCTATTACATGGGACTCTTAACATAAATAGTGAAAAGTGGGTGTTACATTGTGCAGTGGCATAGTGTGCACCTCTGCCTACCCATTCGGGGATAAAAGGCGTGATGTTATGATAATGATGATGACCTATTTAGAAACCACATTGGTATTGGTTAAACAAGAGTAATATATTGAAATCCATTCTATTAACGAGAATTTCCACAAACATAGGTACTTTACAGCAGTAACTTATTGAAGTAGAAATTGGGTTGCAAAATTGAATAATTATTTAAAGCAATTATCACTTCTGTTGAATCAAATTATTACAGTCAAGCAAATTGAAAGTGCTCTCGGTTATTTAGAGATAACAGGAAAATTAAACAATATTCTATAAATAAATAATGTTGTTTGAATGTTTCCACACCTAAGGATTCCATTGTACGGTTCGCTGAAGTTCAAATTTCTTGACGGTTTTAATTTCAAAATCTACTTATTTTTTTCTTTTTATTTACCAGTTTTTACTTTATGCGTCTTTACAATAGAGATACACAGAGACGTACTACACCAATTAAATAAAAAACGCACATGCAACATAAACAAGTCCAGGTCCATCTTTAATATAGGTACAAATATCAGCCATCGAACCTCTCTCTACAAGTTTACAGCTAAAAGAATTTTGCTCAAATACGTTTTTGCAATATTTAAATCATTTTACATTAAAACCTGACACTTATTCATTTTACTACTAAAGTATTAAACGTCATTTTCATGTCAAAAGCACTCTTTGGGACGACGGCCTATCTCGACTTTACATCTATCGACAGGCCAAGCGACGTTCGAATTTATTAAACTCTAGCTCAGTAAACCTGAAAGATTGAATAAATGAGTTGAAAACCGACCTTATACCTTATACCTAAGCACTTAGATGATAACTACATATATTACCTATTGTTTCCATTTACCTGCTTTGATAGTGATGACTGCTAAACAAGAAGTCTCATGTTCTATTCCCTGGGCTCGTCAAAGAATACAGTTACTATAGTACCCGACAATAAAATTGCTTATCTACCTGTGGTCACTCATAATGCTCACGGTTATGAGCCGAATCAAAAAAGATTGAAAAGGAAAAGTAAGGCCTCGTTGGCAGAGTGGTCGCAAGTGCGACTGCCGGGCAAGGGGTCTCGGGTTCGTTTCCCGAGTCGAGCAAAGTATTACTGTGTTTTTTAAAAAAGAACCTTGTAGTAGCACGGAGGTTGGAACTGTTCCCGGTAAATGACAATAAGCTCGCCCCCTATTACATGGACCTCATAACATAGATAGTGAAAAGTAGCTGATACATTGTACAGTGGCGTTGAGTGCAGTAATGTGCACCTCTGCCTAGCCCTTCGATAATAAAAGGCGTGATGTTATGATACGTAAAAATCTATTTAAAACAAACCTGATATTTATGCCTGTATGATAAACTGAACGATATTGACTATAGCTTCTCGTCCTATATTAGGGCGGCTCTAATACCAAATTACGTGTTCAATAATATGGATAATAAACTGTATCTCACATGAAACGCACTCGTCGGATATCGATTATTTTATGAGATAATAAACATAGATAACGACAATATTACGTTGCTGAAAGTGTTCAAACTCTTCTAAGTGGGGTCCTCTTGCTTTTAAATTATTATGATGAAATTTTTATTAGGATAAACTATATTTTTTACCACTGTGAGACAACTAAATGGAGGTGAAAAAAGCTCGACTGGTTTTGAGCCACACGCAGACCCATATTCATGACGTAAATCTATAGTCGTTATAGTCGTCATTATCCGCCGCGCATATACTAAATAAATGAGCTGTGTGCGATACATTTCAACCAATTCAACAAAGTATTAACTGTGGATAGTGTAACTTAGTCTTTATTAAAAATACCTGCACCTACATTGTATTAGGTAGCTATATATATAAACAGGTCCACATTGAAACTGTTTCGAAAACTTTAACGTCAGCGACGTGACTTCGCATCGAGTCTAAATAACTGGAAAACTCGTCACAAAGTTCTTTAAGGATAAATCTTATTTATGACCACGAATAAGTTTATTTTGTCTTGAAATTGTGGTCGCGAGGGATGGACGTCACTTTTATTACCAAAGCTCAGTTCTTTGATAAGAAAATGTGATTATTTTGTGATGTCATCTTCATTTTGTTGTCTTTGAAGAATGTTCGTTAAATCAAAATCAGCTCCTATTCAAAGATGGTATTTTGATATCAAAATATTTATCTTTATAAGAATAAACATTGTACTCCATTGTAACATTTATGATACCTATCTCGAAAAAGTATAGACAGTTGTCATAAAAGACACTAGGTACTACCGCGCGGTTTCACCCGCTTACCTCGGTTCCTATTAATTGTAGCGTGATGTTTATAGCCTATAGCATTCCTCGACACATGGGCTATCGAACATAAAATAATTATTCAAATCGGACCAGTAGATGCGTAGATTAGCACGTTCAAACAAACAAACAAACTTTTCAGCTTTATATAATACATTCCTAAATAAATTAATATTATGTTATAAATTCCTATGTTCATCAGGGATAATGTAAATTCCAACAGTAAAAACAATTTTCGGAGCCTACTCAATTCAAACAAACAAACCAAAAGTCAAATCTTTTCTCTTTATAATACTAGTGTGTACAAGATTACAATAAATGTAGCATATATGTATATTTTCTCTATACATATCCTTAGGTACCTACTATCTCTCTGCTTACATCTATTTAGTTGTTTGTGAACAGATACAGACTGCCACGCCTAGTACTTACCATAGAAGCATATATCTAAGCAATTTATTACAGGCTTTGACACTCCATTATCCACACTCCCTTCTATTATACAATATTAGTTCTATTTATAGTAACGTATGCTTGATACTATTACGCTATTTCTAGAAAAACTATCATAACCCATCTGTCCAGTAGGACTGATGCGGAAGACTTAACGGGTTGCCGGATCGAAGAGCAACAGTAGGAACGGGGTGGTTTTTAGTTAGTAAGAGTCTGACACTCCCTCTCGCCTCACCCAGGCAGGAAAAGAAAAAAATGCATAAAACTCTGGAATGGTTAAATCAATTTCGACATTTTCCTGGCATTGGTTTGGGCAGCAGAAAGTTATAGATACATAATTTAGTTGTAGTAGTACTTTGTACTTTCATTAATTTAGTAGTACTTTGAAAGCCGGAAAATTTGGGACAGACTAGCTGCTAGTGACGTATACAAAGTTTTAAAGTCATGATTCTTTTCCTGGACTTTTAAAATTAATCTACTAACATCTTTTTGGCCAACTAATCAACTAATGGCGTAGTAATCAAAGTTAGAGAACTTCAGTAGATCATTAGTACCTACATCTAAGATTCGATTACAACTTTAAATTGCAGATAATTGAGTCTGGGAACGCCGTCAAAACTTTTTGATTGATTCCTATTTTTCGTTAGATAATTCAGAAAAATCTTCAGTTCATTGATTGCTGATGATGTATTGAAAAAAATTGATTGGTTTTCCAGATTGGATTGAGGAGGGTCCTATACAATCTGCTTCGATTATAATTTCAATTTTTTGGCTTGTAATATTGATTTTAATAATAATTTTAGGTCGTCAAAACAAATAACAGAAAACGTTGTTATGTCAGTATTCAAATAAGGATGATATACATTAAATTAGAACTAATTTTAGAACAGTAAAGTTATTTTAACTTCCTACAGCCGAAAAATGTACTGCTATTCTGCCTCTGCTATACATTTTGAGAAGTGCTATAGATTCGTATTTTACTAATAAACTATACCATATTAAGATAATTGAATTCCCTGAAATTATTACCACGTATTAACATTTGCATGATGTTACAATTGCGCTATTAATTATTGAAACATTTCGCTGAACATAAGTCAGCATACATTATTAAAATGTATTGTGGGTGGCGATGTCTACTTAGCAATGTTAATCGATAACCCTTTGTGGAAGTGACGGCATTTCAAACTATAATATCCATTCTAAGATATACTCACATTATGTATACTTTACATACAGTTAGAGATCAGGTTACACTGGTGCAGTATAACATATTATGCTGTTGTGTACTTCAGTTTTTCTTGTGTTTATAAGACTTCTGTCTTCAACCAGATTTCCCTCTACTTATTTTCTTTAACGCACTGGCTTCCGTGGTTTCGATTACCTGTGTAGGTTGGATAGGTACCTATTTCCGTATAAACGTTTGTGGTAATACGAACCGAGAGGGGATAACGATCAAAAGCATGTTTTTGTACGTATTTTCACTTTGTATATTACTTGGAATTATATCGTTTGATGATCAAATAATAACATTCGATCGTTTTGGTTTGAATTGCGTATTTTGTTGCCGGCCATGTTTAAGTATCTATGGACATCAAAGCTACTTTATATTGAAGATTTTTCCTTTTAAAATGCTTTTTGGTAATTTTAAGGCTTTACAACTGCGTATTGCATATTATTATTTATTTGAATAATACTTTGAAACAGAAAGAGAGGCAAATTCTATTCTTTAAAAATTTACCTTTGATCTAATTGTCATAGTATTTTAACTTACACACGTAAGTATACAGGCCTTGATAACGATGTGAACTTGGGACCATCACTTGGAATATAGAAGCAAAATTCATGTATTCAAGTAAGTTTTTAACATTTTTCATTTTTGTTAACAGATCACAATGGCAGCTACGTGGCTCCTGACGTTCGTGTTATTCCTCGTGAGTTCTCACGTGTACTCAGCCCCAGCTCACACTGGTAAGTTAAACTTTCTACTTTCACAAAATCAAACACTTCACGGAATTCATGAGGATGTTTGAACTTCCATCCCCAATGTAAACAGTTTTCTAAGAATTTTTCTTGGACACATATTTTCAAATGTGCCTCTACTTATATTTACAATTATTTTTTTTGTGTTTGCAGTTTATGATTAGAGATTTCGTTTTTTTTTTAAATAGACGAGGAACAATTATTCCTAATTATAGACTTAACTGTTTATAAGCCTTATTTGTACGATCCATTTAATTTATATCACCAAAAAGGTCGACTGCGCAATTTTTAACCCTTCTAAAATGGTAATTAAATTACTACCTTTTTTGGAGTCGTTTATAATTAAAAGACGAAAGTTTGAAAAGAAAATCAGGAAGCTGCGAAAAAGTTAATTACATTATACAAAAGTAATTTAAGTTTAATAACATGCATGAATTTCTTTTATCGATGAGTTGGTTAAGAAGTATCAAGGCGGAGCTTGCAGGGTTCATTTATCGGGTAGGAGAAAATATTTTCAATATTTTTCGAAATATTTTACGTTTGTAAATAGGCTCGCAAAACTAATAAATAAAAGAATTAATGAAAAGAGTTTTGTCTTCTACGAATAAAGCTTTATTTTATTTTTAATCTTCTTTCAATAATAATGATGTTTTGCTGATTCTGTGTTCAGAACCTGAATATAAACGTAATAAAATTTACGTCGAATTTAATAAATAATCAATTTATATCAGACTTAAGTACACTTCGCTAGCGATGCGTGCAATAATATTGAAATTACTTTTTTTTCTTTGAGTTTGGAAAATGAGAAGATTTCTTAATTCGACCTTATTTAGGTTTTTTTATTAACAATGCTTCCAAGTCCTGATTTACATAAACTCTCTCTCTCTCTCTCTCTTTGCTGTTAGTTTATTCTCCGTACCTTTATTTTCGCAGATTTTCTACTTAAACCCTAAGGTTGACTGGTAGAGAATTTCATATGGCATCAAGTTCCATATGTGCCATAATTAAATTGTGTACATTGAAGACTAAATAAATAAAAAATAAACTTAGGTGCAACAAAATGTCTAACCACGTGTCTAATCAACAAACGAAAAAAAAACTACTTAACCCATTTTCATTCGATTGTCTTCTAGCTAGCTGATTTGAACAAGTACGTTATTAATAATTTCTTGAAGTTAATAATTTTGTTTTCGTTTTATTCACCAATAGTCGAAAAACATAATAATTAATAAAGTATGTGTTACGAAATTTTTAACATTTCTTAAATCTTAAAGTTTTGTGTAAACAGTTACATCTATAACCTTGTAGAACATGTCGTCCCTATTTATCCCGAAATGAATATAATTTTACATAACATCACGCCTTTTATTCCCGAAGGGGTACATTATGCCATTGTACAATGTAACACCCACTTTTCACTATTTATGTTATGAGTCCCACGTAATAGGGGGTGAGCCTATAACCATATACCGGGAATTCTAGACTCCGTGCTACTACTAAGAATTTTTAAAAACCCAGTAGTACTTTGCCCGACCCTGGAATCGAACCCAAAACCCCTTGCCCGGCAGTCGCACTTGCAACCACTCCGCCAACGAGGTAGTCTATATTAATATTAATATAATTTTCTAAGAAAATTAAAGGAAAATGTACCTACGTAGACTTACCACGACACCGAAATATCCACAATGCTATATTTGGAAATACAAGAACTTGAGCTTCTCGACTAAGTAGGTGGAGATGATTGATCGATTCCAAGTAATATCTAAAAATATTGTACTGAGATGAAACTTTATACGTGGTTTTCTTATGAGTAGGGAGAGAAGAATAACGTATTATGTGACACCCTCTTTATTGTTATATTCTAAGAATTCCATCATAATCGGATGAGAGTCCATTATACCAGAATTCCATAATTCCATGGTAACCATGAATTAGAAATCCAATAAGCTAATATTACTTTCTCCGAGTGATATTTATAGTTAAACTAGCTGTTGCCCGCGACTTCAGCCGCCTAGAATATGAATTATAAAACACAACTTTATTTTTGTTTCAATTTTCCAAATAAAAGTAGCCTATGATACTTTTTAGTACATCATCAGCTACCTGCCGATAAATGTCTTGAAAAATCGGTCTAGCCATCCCAGAGATTAGCCGATATAAACAGACAGATAGACAAAAATTGTAAAAATATATTATTTTGATATTTGTATCGTATGTATACATATAGTAAAAAGCGGTTATTTTAATATTACAAACAGCCATTCCAATATCTGTATAGATATTACGTAGATATTAAATAGACATTACGTAGTTTCCATAAAATAAACCCTTCTTTAACATTCAAACTTTTGTCCTATGTAAACAGTTTCCATGGAATACTGTCCTAACCCCACATTATGGTGTACCGGAAAAACAAACTTTATGACTATAGTTTTAAAGTTATGTTTGATAGGAATTATAATCGTAATTTCATGGTTATAACGTGCATTATAGATTGATGAGTAAGAAATGGTTTTGATTGTTTAACAGAGGTATGTTTGAGCAAAATGTATTCAGTGTTATGCAAACTACATAAAAGCCATAAAATTACATAGAAAAGTGAATAAAATGATAATGATATTTTATTCACCATGTCGATTACTTTCAGTAATAAAAAATTACATAAACTCATCTCTGTACTACTTAAAGGTGGACTGGGGAACAATGTCCAAGGCATTAAGTCCGCCTCCACATATCTGGTGTATTAAGTTGAAAATAAATAAATATACATAGGTATTGACTGCCTCGTTGGCCGAGTGGTCGCAAGTGCGACTGCCGGGCATGGGGTCTCGGGTTCGATTCCCGGGTCGGGCAAACTATTACTGGGTTTAAAAAATTCTTAGTAGTAGCACGGAGTTTGGAATTGTGCCCGGTATATGGCAATAGGCTCACCCCCTATTACATGGGAATCATAACATAAATAGTAAAAATTGGGTGTTACATTGTACAGTGGCATAATGTGCACTTCTGCCTACCCCTTCGGGGATAAAAGGCGTGATGTTATGTTACATAGGTATATGTAAACAACGAAGAAGAAAGTACTTATACAGATACGTCTGGGTACGTCAGTTACATTATCCACTCACAATGAACTAGAGTTATGGCATTTGACAGCTAATATCTCAGTACAATGGAAACAAGATTCGATTCCAACAAGTTTTTGTAATTCATATTTTTTTTGTCAACGACAATTTTTATTTTACCCGTATTAAATACGTATAGTATTTATGAAATACTTACAATCTAGTTAAATAGTTGTTTGAAATGATAAGAAAAAGATATTTTACAGTTTAATTTTTGCTAGGCAGAAGATACCTAGTAGATACTTAACCTGTTCATATAGTACCAAGATAACTGAAATTACTTTTCAATAAGTATCAACTTGTTCCTGTGAAAATTACTTACTTACTGTAAAAAACTGAAAAATTTAACACAGTCTTCAGTAAAATAACAGATGTTACATTACTATATGTTTAGATAACGCGCGTATTAATTAAGTACCTTTGTACCAGCAAAATATATTTTACTCCGTTACCTAACTAATTAACAAAAGGAAGTTTTACAAAAGATTATCTTACTCAGTGCTCACAAACCAGAAAATCCATTCATAATCCCTTTGGATGATGTTACTTCATGTTACGTAAGACGATGACGTCATCATGTTTCCCCTGGTCTTGACATTGATTCTTGTGCGATGTTAGGTAAGATATTTTTATTGGGGCTGTTATATTTTTGTTTTACATAATCGTTGGACCGGACCGATTATGTAAAACAACACCCCTGATAACTTGTTTTTAGATAGGTACCTGTGTTTTATTTTGAACCTTATGTTACTTGATGATAAGGATCTACAGTTATCAGAGCATAAAAACTTATTACCTGTCTGTCAAAGAAAATCATGGAAAACGTTAAAATAATTTGAAACTGGCATTATGATCTTATTGAGAAATTTTAAACCATTTGTTCAATGAATCACTAGTATAATTATTCTTAGATTCTTTTAGAAAAGCCTTCCTTTATCCTTGATTTTCTCGAAAGTTTATCGCAATATTTTTTATTGTTACGTATTTTAGTTAAGTGACAAGAAAACAATTTCATTCTTATCTATTTAATTTAGGGTAGTGTTTTATCCATTAACTTAGAAAATGTCTGAAAATCAAATCACTTAACAAAAATGATCTCGAAACGATTGTACACAAAGTTTTTTACTTAAGATTATGTCACTCAGTTTCTATGTCAGCTAAATGAAATTCTTGATTACGTATTTTCATTTTCCGACCGAGATTCGAAATGCTTGTTTTAATTGAATTAAACATTGAAGCTATTCGTTATTGCTTACGTAGGTGTGTGCGCTGACATTAAGTAGATTGGTAGTAACCTTGGCAAAGCCAGTGCTGTTTAATTAAGACATCAATGACTACGTCACAGGCTGATGTATTCAGGTATGCAAATCTAACAATGTTTGCAAAGCTCTTAAGTCTACTCTGGTTCGGTGTAGATTGTAAGTTCCCTTTACTCTACTTTGATATTGGTGTTGTTGGATTATGAAGCTAAATATAGCATTTCATATAGTTCGGTAGCCAGACAGATTTTAATTTTATGGAAAAAGCCGGCAAACTAGTCGACGGGTCACCGATTTCTTACCATCAGTAAGCAATAGGCGCCGATCATAGACAGTCACGTCACGTTGTTTCACGTCAGTTTTCTGCGAGGACGGGATATCGCTCCAGTCGAGCCGGCCCATTCGTTCCGAAACATGGTTCTCCCACACTTAAATATTGAACTGATTTAGTTATTAATGTCCTTGTGACTTTATTTTACCTCGAGTATTAATAAAGAATTGCAGATAACTACATCAGCATAATATACATATCTTTGCAAATATCTTCGAAGGACAAAATGTGATGTTCTTTTTGTTATTTATGTGTCACAATAAAAATTTAATTCAA